ATTTATTCCACTCTACACGTCCCTAAAACTAAAAGGCTACTTTCTGTCCTACAAAATACAGACCAGTTAGCAGTTATCTTAAAACATACTGGCTACATTTCCAGTAGGAGACTGTTGTGTTTCTGCCTGAAGAAGGAAACAGAAGTAAGAAAAGCAGAACAGTACAGAGGCTTTTCTACAGCAGGGTAGGCATAGAAATATAGATGCAGAACAAATTTCACTGTAGAGCTGTACTGATACCTACATTCTTCTTCAAAAACTAAAAAAACGAACAGGGTAAAAGACACCAGAGTATTGTTCACTGGTTACGGCCTCCAAAATTCATGTAAAGTTAGATCTTAACACGTGCTTAACACATAATGTAATTAGTACCCATCTTACTAAATTCACTTTTGGATGGTTAAAGTCAACAAATTCTATAGAATCCTATTCTAACTGCTAAAAAACAAACAAACAAACAAACAAACAAACAAACAAACAAACAAACAAACAAACATGTCTATTTTTAGTCACCATGTGTGACTGAAAGAGGAGGTTTCCAGTTCCTACAGAACTGGAAAGAGGTTTCCAGTTCCTACAGTAACTGTGACCAGAAGTGAGCTCTCTCACGTGTCCCGAGTGCAGCGTCCTGAGTACAGTCTCTGTACCTGCTCAGCTTTCAGGGTCAGCTCGATGAAGATCTGCTGCAGCTTCTCGTTCACAAAGTTGATGCAGAATTGCTCGAACCCGTTTTTCTGCCCGGGACATTAAACAGAAGGGTGGGGAAGTAGGTTAGGAAACTAAAGTCACATTTCTGTTAGCTCCCATTTTGTTAGTTTCACAGTTTAACAACGCAGTACCTGGAACCACACATTTGTTTTCAGAGTACTGGTAAGTAAAATATTTAAAACTGCATCCTAAATGTCTTTGGTAACTTATAGCTTCAACATCTGAATAATTTATCATATAACATTGATTGTGAATGCTGGCTTTCTTTAGCAGTCAATCAAAACATCTCGATTCAGTAGATCTGTGATGTTCATGAGTTATTCTAGTTGGTTAACAATAAAATGTGAATCTATTCACCTGAAATATCTCGAACCCATAGATATCCAGAACTCCAATACTGTATTCCTCATATGGCTTCTGCATAGCTTTGTTAATCGCCTGCAAAGAGTTAAATATCAAGAATGAATCTGGCTCATTAGCGTGCAGATAACATCAGTTGATTAAATTTTCTTCATTGCTTCGATGGACAAAGATTAGAATAATAACTACCTTATTTAGGTGAAATAAATAAGGTGAAGGTGAAATCAAAGCTGCATTAACTGAATATATGATGGGTTGGCATCCTGTCCAGGGCTGTATTCTTAATTCGTACACTAGACTTCCTGGATTGGCTCTGGATTGCTGTGACTCCTACCAGGATGCAATTCATCATGCAGAACATGACAATGTTACCATGGATATAAAGGATGTCTTGACATGAATGCTGCCTGATGCTTTCTCATCTGCTTTGCTGAAATCAACTTTGAAGAGAACGTCAATAAATGTAGCCCGTTGAAGTTAGACTAGGACCACAGGAATGCTGAAGAGCCAATTCTTACAGCTGGACTGATGTTTTCAATTGTGCAAGGATGTGAAAGAATGTTTTTTCCGTATCATGTATTTGTACAAAGTACCAATATAACTTTTTACTACTCAATTAATCTGGGTGATGGTTTAATTCAAGGAAAATTGTATTTTTACCCATTTACACAGTATCAGTACTGTACGGGTCAGTATCTATATATGTCATCTATACAGATATAATCTCCATGTCATATTGGCATATGTATCTGATAAAAAGATCATCTAGATCTTCTGTAGAGATATCATCTATTGTATTTATATACCATCTATTAATACAGATCTATATTTTTATTGTACATCATGTATATCATCTATAGCCTATTTGTCACAGTTCTGCATGGCTGTAAGCGGAAGGGCAGGTGTGCCCCGGGGCTGTAAGGGGCTCGGACCTCCACCAGGAAGTCGAAGAGGCGGGCGTAGAGCGCCTTGGACAGGGCGTCGCGTGTGTAGCAGGCCTGCTCCTGGTTCAGCGTCACGTTGATGGACTCCGACTTGCCGCCCCACTTGCTGTCCATCTTCCTGCTGGTCAGCTTGTCCTGCAGGCGGGTCTGGTCGATCCCCAGCAGGTAGGCAGGGAAGGCCAGCACTGCGGGACGAGAGAGGTCCGGTTTCAGCTCCGTGTTTTCTCCCAGGATGGGGGGGGGAGCAGGGAGTCACCCACTTCTGCTGCTTCCCACTGGCCTTCTGGCTCTGTTGCTGTGGGATTTGTCCCCTGGCCAAGGGACAGCCCAGTGAACAACTCTGTAACTCATGCCAGCATTCTGCTGGTTATTATAACTGATTGACTCCCCTGAAGCCTGATAATTAACAACAAGACCATCTGAAAAGTCCCATTCTGGCCCTTAGGCTTATCTAACTCCTTTAGGATCCTTGAGGAATTGTAAGTTAAAGAGGGAAACCGAATCATTTCCCTATTTCCCAAGTGTATCCTCAAACATAGGGAATCTGTATTATACAGTATACTGCAAATTCCCATGGCTATTAAAAAAAATAATTGTTTTTTTTCCTCCCTACCAATGACTAGATCTGTGCACACAGCAAATGATAGAAGTTTGTAACCCTGCTCACCCTCAATATACTTCTGGGTAACAAAGCATGGCATTCCCCCAGAGACCTTTGGAGCAGATGCAAGGAGTTGGGTCTATGAAAAGTAAGGGTATGTATTTGGATGCTGGAAGGCTGTAATCAAGTAAGAATTGTTACACCGGCCCATGAAAATGTACAAAACTCAGGAACCCTCCAGGAACAGGAGATACTTCTGCCTCTGCAAGGAAGACTCATGGGGACAGCCCAGCCCATCACTCACAGTCCTGGCTTTCCACTTGTCCGTAGTTGCCTGCCTCGATGAAGCTGATGTTGCCCAGGTGCAGGATGCCCACCACGATCTGGAGCACCTGATTCTGGTTGTTGGGGGAGATGCCGATCACTTGCATGGCTTCCTGAAGGAAGAAAACAATGTCTTTTGTAAAACGTGCTCCAACAGTTCACAGGAATGGGAAACAGCAGTCCTTGAAGGCTGCATAACCGCAGGATTTACAGGTTTCAATTAGAAACTGACTAAGACCTAAAAAATCCAGGTGATATGACTTCTAATAGGCCAATCAAGAAATTAAGATCAGAGGTTGATTGTCAGTCATAGGAGTTTCCCACCTCTGTCAGACCTTTCAAACAGAATCCCAGAATGGGACAATTGACTATTCCATTGGATTTAAATATTTAAAATGTAAAATTGCCATTGTCTTCCATTTTCTTGTCCACATAATTTAGCTTAACATCAGGATCCATGCATTGTAACAGGTAAGGCTGGACTGAGGGCATGGTCCTTTGAAACGCTCATTGTTGGGAAGCCTGGTGTTTCACCTACTGTCATCTCCACAGTGCCTTACATGAGAGTCAGCACTGATTGGAGGAGCTGTGGGGCTCTTGCTGACATCACTGCAGGTCTCAGACTTGTGTCCAGATACCCTGGCAGGGCCACCACTTGGGGAATCAGATCACTGTGATCAATGGGATATAACTCAGGTTCAAAGTGGCAGTGCTGGACAGTGGGGCACAACCTTTGTAGCTCATCAGCTAGGCTTCTACACCTTTCAAGAGACTCTCACATCCTTCACCCCACCGGCCCAAGAGGGTGCAATCTTACCATCGTTTCCTGAAAGTCCTTGCTATCGTTGGTCCCGTCCACTTTGTAAGTCCCCGACTGATTCAGATAGAAGTAGTAGTCTGGAGTCATGATGCCAAGAGCCTCGGTCTGCTGTGGAGACGCCCCTTCCAGCACCTGCAGCCAGAGAAGAACAGAAGACACAGTGGCGCTCGATCAGGGAGTCGCTTTGAAAGTCCTGGGTTCGAGCAGGAGGGGGGGGTCTGAAATGTTCTGAATCTGAACGCAGAAAAAAAAAACCACTGTGTGTTTCTTCTGCGGCCATGTTGCATGAAAATTTGCAATATTCCTGATGGCAATGGGACAGGAATGCTCATCTACTGGGAAAACACATATCATGCACAACACAAACTCACACCAGGGCCATTTGTTCCCAGAAGCCAATTAATCTCCCAGCACGTCTTTGGACTGTGGGAGGAAACCAGAGCACCTGGAGGAAACCCACATGAGGTTGGGGGGAACATGCAGACTCCACACAGACAGCCCCCTAGGAACTGAACCCAGGGCCCCAGCTCTGTGAGGCAACAATGCTGACCACTGTACCACAGTGCCACTCCTATTATATTTTAATAGAATTTAAAACAATCCAGTCACAATGAAAAACTACTAAGAAACTACCAGTTCCTGGCAAGCTGTCTCTCCTCAGCGCTCCAGGGGCAGAGGGGCTGGACAGCTCTTTGCTCACCTGGTAGTAGATGTGGAAGTTCCTCTCGTTCTCATTCTGGCTGACAACCCTGGACTTCTCCAGCAGGAAGTTGGAAATCTTACCACCGTCTGGCTCCCCTCCCCGACTGAACTGGATCTCAAAGTACTTCCCCTGCCAGCAAAAACAAGGGAGTACACAGACCTGAGCAGGCATATCTCTTTCAAACTCAGGCCATGCAATGCAGAGTGAAGACTTTTTCCTTTTTCCTGTGTCCACTAAACGGCAGGGGAAAAGATTTTAAATTACGGACCAAGAAGAGATGGATGGATAGCCACTGTTAAAGCAGCCCTGTCAGTGCTACTTCTGCATGTGCAGTACGACCCTGAAAGAGATCATAGATCTGTAGCACAATTCGCCTGATATTATTTATATGTTCACAATGTTAAAAATATAATGCTCATATACTGATGCGATTCTTACACCATTTTATTTTTAAAGAACAAATGTTCTTTGTCTTTTGCATACATATTTCTGTGCTGGCTGTTATCAATGTTTGTGTATTTATATACAAGTGTGTGTAGATAGATATACCTGAGCATATGTGCAGATGTGCATTCTTACTGTTTTTTTTTTCAATTTTAGTTTTAAGTTCTTCTCACTTGTGGTGCTAAGAATTTACTGTATGAATCTGTACAAAAATTGACTATATGTTTTGGATATTTTTTTTGTACTTTATTGGATATTATTTCTTGCTCTGGATATAATATTTGTATTGCTTACTTAGGAAGTGAACTACATAAATTTTGCAATGATAAATAATTTGTAAGATAAAAACTTGAAAAGGCATGTATACTTGCAAACTATATTTGTCAGCTAATTGTCCCATTCCTATGGAATATACAGTAGCACCTCTTTATTGTGAAAACCAGATGCTTAGAATTATGTAATTTCTATACACAAACATAATAAAAACAATAAAACTGCATTTTTTTCGGTGGGTATATTCAGAAAATATTCCTAAAAAATAATGGAAATTCCAAAAATCCCCTATTTATTCCACTATATTGTGAACTCTAAAACGACAAGACAAAGGATGTTCTGAGAGCCTGGGCTGTTTCTTATGATGATTACAACGCAATGGAAGGGCTGTGAAAATTAACTACTTTTCTCTTAAAAACAGACATGTGGGCCTCAGCAAGCTTCACAACAGTAGCAAAACACAAAATAAAAAAAAACACCTAGCCGGGGTCACAGTGAGAGCAGGAGAGAGGGGCCCTGAGAGGCCCTGTGGCAGGACAGGTCCGGAAGGCGGGCAGTGAGGAAGTGTGTTGCAAACGCAGAGACTTTCAAGAAACACTTGTGCAGAGCTGGGCCCCCGGAGACAGCTGCTTCGCTTCGGTACAGGCTCACAAAGAAAAGGGATGGAATATGCTGAAAAACTCCATCCCAGACCCCATTCAGGAAGTCAGACCGTCTGACTGACAAAGATTGTGGGGTGCCTCTCAGTGCCTCGAGGCTCTGTCTGTCTCATTTCTGTGTGGCTCTGTGGAGCAGCACAGAGAGAGTGCAGAGCATGCAGGTGGGTCTTACTGACTGAGGAAACAGTGTGCTTTCAGGGCTGCCTGACCACTTCCACTTCCTGCTCTGCTCTCATTGGTCACTGTCCCCACAGGCCAGCAGTCCGGCTCACCCATCAGTCTCAGAGACGTGCTTCGCACCATCAATCCTAACTGCTGCCATTTGAAAAAGGGCACACCCAGCAGCGCAAGAGCCCATGCACACTTGCAGGTTTAAGAATGAAAACTAGGCTCTTGCCAACACAATCAGCGAAGGGGTTTGAGCGCCTGCTGAAGGCTGAGCTTGGGCTGATGGACAGGAGCCCATGAGGCGAAGGCAGAAGGGGCAAGCCTCCTCTGTCACTACTTGCAGACAGGCGGCGGCACGGCGAGAGGAGTGGAGAACTCACGAATCGGCTGGAGTTGTTGTTGCGCACTGTCTTGGCATTCCCGAAGGCTTCCAGGAGAGGGTTGGATTGCAAGATGATGTCTTTCACATGCTAGGGGCAGGAGGAGACGAGAACTGTTAAAACCACAGCCCAGTGCTGGAGGAAGAGAAAGGGGAAGCTCTGTACAGCATGCAGAAGCTCTTGCTATGACCTAACAGGAGGGGATGCAATGAGTTTGCATCTACTGAGGCAGTAGAAGGGTGCGACCCGCCCACCTTGTGTCACACAAGGTAACAGGTAACTGCTGAGGAACCCCTGACCAGTGTCAGTCTACGTGAGCCCAGTGAGACGCAGTAATCAAACTGCTTCCACTGCTGTGGGGTATCCCACTCACCGCCGGATTGCGTTCCTGCTGGAGGTGTTTGGGTCATATTCTCAAGCCCAACTGTGACAGCGTGCCCTTGCTGGCAGTCACGAGGGAGTCCCTGTGTCAACATTCTCTGCTACGAGTCAACACCCAATAACTGCTCGTATTTGTCAATTTAAATTAATTTGACCATTTTTTTCCAGGTTTTAACAATGACTCCTGTACTGCACCGAGAGAATGCCTGTGAATGCATTTGCAAATGTTCCTCCAACCAGCCCGCCCATCAGAGATCTCCACCCATCCTGATGCTGGGAGCCCCACAGCGCCTGACAGGAGAGCTGGCTCCCACTGGAGGAGCAGCACGACGCGCGCTGACATCACTGCAAGCCTGCAGGTGCCTGGGAGCACAACCCTGCCTGCATTGGCCTCTGCCAGGCGTGTGGGGCATGCCAGCAACAAGTGGCTCGAACCTGAGCAGCACCTTTCCTGACTGAGCCACTTGGGGGCCCCAGCTCCTGCCCTTTCACCTGTACTTTCGGTCCTCCGCCGGAGACTTTCGAGATGTAGCCCATGATGTATTTAGCAGCCACTGTCTTTCCCGCTCCGCTCTCCCCACTGTGGAGACAGATAAAAATCAGCCCACACACAGCTCTGTGAAGAAGAGTGACTGGCAGCATTACTGAAGCTCCTACACTGGGTGAGGCAACTGATGCAGAAAAAAATACAAATCTGCGTTCAATTTCTATTGATCAATTGAAGACAATGATTCACATGGCCAGGGTGGGGGGGCACTGTTGATTAGGTTTGACTAGACTAGGCAGGCAGGGCTACAATCAATAGCTTCTGCTATATTATAAAAGTGGAAAAAGCTTACAATATCAAGGAAGCCGTGTCCAGTCACTCACCCCAAGGAAAACTCTCACTAATCAAAGAACGGCTTTATGGCTCTGTTCCACTCTATGTTAAATATTAATCATAGGAGAGCAGAGTGGATCATGATTCTAGGTTTAAAAACTACCACTATGTGAAAGGACAGGAAAGTACAGTACACAGCAGTGACAGCTCTTTCTCATGTCTTTTCTATGAGTCAAAGAGGCGCCTCACACCCAGAGCCATTTCCTTCCAGACATCCCCATTTTAAAAAAAAGCCTTTCGATGACTGGTGATGATGATAACCATCTAAAATAAAATAATTAGCCAGCAGGCTGCTGTCATGGTTTGGAACTGTTTGGGCAAATCTGCCAGGCAAATTCAACATAGCAAGGAACAATGCAGCATTATAAAAAGTACGGAATAATAAAGCCCAAGCATGCAAAACAAATTCAATCTTCTGCTCTCAGTCGGGACAGCACATTAAACAGCAGGAACAGGACATTCGAGTGGCCCATGCACAGAACTCAGTACAGAGCTTATTAATTACAACACAGTGTTATAGCCACATACTGTAGCACCACGTTACAGCCCAGTCTGAAACACAACTATCCTCAGTGACAAGGATGAAAGACAGATTTCTTCCTTCCTGGCCAACAAACAAAAATCATATCAGCAAGCACCATCTGTCTATGGCCATGCCTGCTCAAGTACTGAGACCTGAGCTCAAACTGTTAGATTACAGGCAGATCAGATGGCATTAGCTGTTACTGCTGAAATGCTCCTGAACCCTTTTGGCACTGATGAGATGCCTGTTTTTTGCATTATATATACTAACTCCAGACACTAAAATCATGCTCTCATCTAGATCAGAAAGTTAATTTAAGACACCTGAGAGGAGGATTGGCATGCACAGGATTTCTGTTAGTCAATAAAGATGAAAATGATTAGGAAGAATTTTATTTCCGGCAGGGTGTGTGTGACCTAAATAATCAGTGGATTGCAGATTGAACCTGTGCAAACAGAAACTCAGGACTGCAGCGCTGTACAGTAAAAGTGGGCCCATCACCTCTGTTTCGCCCTGGTTCCATTTCCTGCTCGTGGCCTGTTATTTTAGACGTGCTAGTCTAAAACAGCAGTAGGAGTCTCTTGTGGTTCCTGTTTCTGAAGAACTGAATGCAGTGCAACACCTATATAATTCCCCATACACATCACTTCCTGTACATTTCTTCTTTGAGAATTCTTCAAATTCTTCACTGGAACAGCTGATTATCTAATGATAACTTACAGTTCTGTTTTAAAATGAGACTAAGCTCGATTTCTAACGTAGGGAAGTGCTGATTTTGAAATTATTGACATACAGTTGCTGCGTTAAACAAACACCTGCACCAGTAGGTGTTTGAACAGGTGACGTATTGCTCCAGGTGTTTTCCAGATCTACCCTCCTCCTCACCCCTGCGCTCAGTCTGCGTGCTTATGCAGTTAATAGGCCCAGTGAATGCTGAGCAGGCAGAGCTGGTGAGGGGACTGCGGACGTCTTTGCCATGACCGGAGCACAAGCAATACACCGCTCGACATGCCCACCGGCTGAAAGGGACTCAAGGCGCGAGGCGAGGACGCTCTCCCCGCGGCTGGTCCTCCGAGCGGCCCGAGTGAAAAGAAGCGGAGAGAGAGGCCCAGTACCTGATGATAACACACTGGTTCTCCCCGTCGATGAGCATGTTCCGGTACATGTTGTCGGTCAGGGCGTAGATATGGGGAGGATTCTCGTACTGGGCCTGCGGGAGACAAGCAGGGACAGAGGCACGCACGTGCCCAGGCTGGTCAGATCCTCACCCAACAGGCTAAAGCTTAAGCCTACTTCATGAACCATTCCTGGGGTAAATTAATTGCAGGTTTTAGCACTTCTACTATGATTTTTACCACAGTCTTAGTGTGCTTTCCTGCTCGCCTTTGCTTTATTTTATAATGCTGGACCATGGGAGTACGATGGTCTGTTATAGCAAGCATTTATCTCAGTGCATCGTGCTAACCCCATGGTGCAGTGTATTGAAGTCATACTGAAACCACAGCACACTCTAGTTAAAGCAATGGCGTTTGAATATCTCACAGGATATTTACTAAGGCAAACATTCATCAGAGACCAATTGCTTAACCGGAGAATTTATAGCTATAAATACTGTAGCTATAAATTATATACTACATTATAGCTTCCTTCTAAATTCACCTGTAGTTCCTTTAATCTGCCTTTCTGCTCTGTAACCCATATCCCTGCCAGCACCAGGGCTGTTTGTTTGGCACCTTCCAAGCAATCAATCACAAGCGTCTTTCGTTCAGCTCTTTATAAACTCACTGCTGAAGTGCTTTACCTTCTGTTCCTGCATGTTATTGGTTGTGGCTGTCCGTGTGGCATTTTTACTTTTCTCTATGACATCTTGCATTTGGGTAAGACTAACATGTATTAGTGCTATCTTTAAGGTCATTCTGCAGTTGTACAAACTTTGAATGACCTTTCACCTTAATATTTGACCCTAAGAAGCCCCAGAGTCCTCATTCATAAAATTCAAACACGAAAAAAGAGTGGTTCTGAATATGCTGCAAGATCCAAGATGACAATGAATCGCAATGAAACTCACAGCATAAGCTGTCAACTCATAAAAGAACCACGTTTACAAAGCAGAATACTTACCGCACCCTGGTAGAGCTCGATTTCTCGGTCAGTGAAATATGGCATCTGTTTGAAAGGGTTCACGGATATCAGCACAGAGCCAATGTATGTCTAGGAGCAATTGTGAAGGAAAGTAACACCCTTCTGGTTCAGCTGATAACGAGAAACCTTGGGTTCATTATTTTGAAACAGAGAGGTCCTGTGATTAAGATAATGGGCTTGTCAGTAGGCCTTGAACCCAGCCCTACTGCAGACTGTCCCAAATCAAGCCCTAATCCTATAGCAGATTGTCCTAGATCAAGCCCTAACCCTATTTCAGACTGTCCCTGGCCAAGCTGGTCAACAATTTAGTTGATAACAATGTTGATGGTGTATCCTTATAATAAATACCTTAACAGTTATTCATTCATATTTCAGCCCCGATTCTGTGTATGTTGGTTCACAGACAACTTCTGCTGAATAGAACATAAGAACAATTACAAACGAGAAGAGTCCATTTGGCCCATCCAGCTCCTTTGGTAGTTAGCAGCTATTTGATTGAAAGACCTCACCCATTCATTTCTTCAAACAGGCCAGGGTATCGGCTTTAACAACGTCTGTGTTACTTATGCAATACTCCCACAGCCCTTAAGCTAAACAAGTGCCTTCTGTTTTCAGCTTTAAATGCACTTCAATGTAGTTTTGATTTACGCGTTCTGGTTTGTGTTTCACTGTCCATTCTGAAGACATCTGTTGGGCTGCCTCTGTCAAGGCCTTTAAGGACTCTGAATACCATATTCGTCACTGTTTAAGGTTAAAAAGGTTCCGTTCCTTCATGCTGTAGGTGTAATTAATTCCCTCAGCCTGGGTTGTGTCTGGATGTTCTTAGCTGGTTGGATTCCAGAACAATGATATCTTTTCTATGGCATGGTATCCAAAATCGAGCTCAATATTATAAGTAACGTTTTTAAACTTTTAACATAACTTAATTTGACATAACATAATTTAGCATAATTGTTAACAGAACATCCCTTGATTTAAACTCTGTCTATACACCCAACCATCGTTTTTTGTAGGTGTTAATAATAACAGGCAGTGCAGTGACACAGTGACCAGCAGTCCTGTCTCACAGGTTTGGGGCCGTGTACTCAATTACAGAGCTGGGGTGCTGTCTGTGTGGAGCTTGCATGTTCTCCCTCTGTTCACATGAGGTACCCCCAGGCGCTCTGGTTTCCTCCCACAGTCCAGAGACACACAGGTAGGTTAACTGTTTTCTGGGAAAATTGGCCCTGGTGTGAATGTTTGTGTCTGTGTGTGTGTCCTGCGATGGACTTGCGTCCCATCCAGAGTGTATTTCGTTTTGCACCTGCTGCTTGCTAGGACAGGCTCTTAAATCTGACTGCACAAATACTTCAGGTGAAAACCAGCACAGAATGGCAAGGTAAGAGCTGGGCTTTGAGGTCATACTCTGCAGTGGGTGAGCCGTCAGCAGTACGAGATAAGTGACGTCTTTCCTCTTGCAATGGAAGAGAACACATGAATTCACAGAATGATCTTACGAAGAATGAAAAACTCCCCACTTCCCCTATGAATTCAAGAAATACATTTATAAGTACATTTACCTACATGTCATCTTCCTGTCTTCAGTTCAAGAGTAGTAGGGGATTTAAAAAATTCAGATGTGAGCTTGCCTATTTTTAAAGCAGAAGCATGTGTTGGGGTTTTGCTCTGGTCTCCTCTCAAAATGAACAGGAACTTAAAGTTTAAACATTTTTAACTAGATAAAAATGCTTCTTTCAAATGGTAGAAAAATAAACCCATACTTTAACCTCAAAGGGAGTAGGACTTCCTCACTTTAATATTTAGCAAGATACACATCCTGCTTCAAACATCCTGCATGATTTTGTTCTTTAATTCTGTGTTTTTCATACTGCAAAGTTTTGAATTTGTGAATGAGAGTGTATGATTACGACTGAGCTGAGGTCAGGGGGTGGCCCAACACAATGACGTTAAACAACGCCCAAAGTTTAATGTTGTTTTCAGACCTGTGTGTCTCTGAATTTTTGTACCATCCTCACTTCTTTAACTTTTAAGAACTTAAGAACAGTTACAGGCAAGTGAAGACCAAGTTGTAGTTAGTGGCTGGGCAGCTTGTTCCATCCTCCCACAACCCTTTGTGTAAATCCCAAGTGAATCCCATTCTCGGTTTTACATACACTACCCCATAGTTTCCACTTTTCTGAGTTTATTTTTTCCACTGCTTTGAGCTTATTTGAGTTTTAAGCAGAAACTGTATATAGATAACTATATAATTATGCAGATCATGTGAGCAATAAATTAGTTAGTTGGTGGTTTATGAAAGTTTCACAGATCTTTTTTTTTATTATTGTTTTCTTTTTGTGGCTACTGTTTTTGCTCAAGACGCGCAAGGGATCAAGCTGGGCATTCAATTGCTATCATTGAAAAGCTTGGAAGTGGCTGACTGTAGCAGTTGACCCATGCAGCCCACTGCTTGTCCATTCCAGGATCTGTCCCCAGCTGGCTGTGTGCTGTGTGCTCTGATAGGAGATGTAGGCTAGAGAGTTCCTATTTCGATGCATAGAGTCCAGCCTTTGCCGGGATCCTGGTGTTTTGAGTTGATCAACAACTGTCGATTACAAAAATTCAGGGATCGTAAAAAAAAAAAGAGGTATTCCTAAGCTGTTTTCTGTAAAGAAAAGGACTCACTGTGAATTCGTGCTTACACACAAACAGAGGCTGATGGTTGGGGTCAGGCACTTCCTGTGAAAAGAGGAAGTGAGCTTTGTGTTGGCTCACACAACAGAACCTGGTGCTGGTGTCAAAAACGGAACAGAATCACGAAGCACTGTGAATGTGAATGTGTGTAAGACAGTTGTGTTGTAGCTCTACAGGCGTTATTGCTCAATGGTAAGCCAATAGGCAATGTCACTACGGCAGTTCTCTCCTTGTATGGTGAGAAACTCTTCACATCAAAGCCAGGCTCTGCTCACAGGGAGAGCTGTGTGTGTGCTGGGGGTTGGCGTTGAGGTGGAGGTGGATGTGAGGGTCGCTGTTGACTTCCCCCAATGACTTCAGCTTTTCTGAAGAGGAAACAGGAGGCCTCCGCAAAAAAAAAAAAGTGTGGTTTATAACGAATTGAATATTCATCAGATAGACACTGACAAAGAACTAGAGGGAAATGTAGGGCAAATATTTTTAGAAAAAAAGCCATATTTGAATTTTCATAATGGCCTTCTTTTGTTTGCACTCCATGTGGATATCTTAATATTAGATCTCTTGCTGAAAGGCATGGTTATTCAGAGTGCCTGATGTTCACTTTTTTAACCTTGATCACTACAGCACCAGGGCGTGGAGCATGAAGGTAGGTTAGCTTTTTCCTTCTGTGCTGCAGATGCAATGATTTTGTAACAATGCTTCTTGAATCATGGCTCCCTCCGTTCCTGTTTGGGACAGGCTGCCCAAGGGTGGCGCGCAGGGGAAACAGAAGGAGGAGAGGAGAACTGCGGCTCTCCCACCCCTCTGCGCTGGCACGCAGCAGGAGCTCGCCCCGGGGAAGGATACGAAGATGTAATCGTCCATGTAGCGCTTCTTGAGGTTCTCCACAATGGCGTCCTCCGTGATCTTGGACAGGAGGACCATGTCGTCCACTCCGCTCTGCTTGACATTCTGGCTCTGCCAGTGGTACTTGCTTCCCTGCCGAGATAAAGAGTGAGGTTAGGAGAGGGATTGTTTTAACAATTATTTTTCCCTTATTCCTGCTGGGAGTATCCAAGTGTGCAATGAATCAAATCCCTGAGTGATGTCAGATCCTGGCACATGCATTTTCCATATTGCCCACAGACAGATGTGTTTGAGGTCGATCGCATGAGCACAGATGTGCTGACTGGTGAAATGTTCAGCTGTTTGACGCACCACTGAGGTCAGGTTACTGTCAATGACTAGATTAGCACATGTCAGGTCTCCCACCCTGCCAGATCACTGCATTCATTTTGCTAGACTGCAAAATTCAACAGTGCAGAGAAAGGAAAGACAAGTGTGGTGGGGGGGGGGTAGGTGTGGCTGTGGGTGTGAGGAGTTTCAAAAGCATTTTGCAGGGCTTATCTTAGTCAGTCTGCCATTGATGAGTCCCACCTGGGGTGGCCTTGGCTCTGGGCAGAGAGGAGGACGATGTTTCTTGGTACAGTATAATGGAATATATATTAGAATAACTTAATTCCCCTCCAAGTATTTCCCCTCTCGCATGGAATGGAATCCCGGGAATTGGATAACTGCCCACCTATCCGGAACGAAGATTTAAGACACTTAAGATACTTCACGCCACATGACTGTCCCTGACCTATCCAACCCTGCTGTAACAGACTAATGAGTTACATAAATTTTAGCACTTTTCAGTGTAGACATGATAAGGATTTATGATGTCACACTTTGTAAACTATTGTGAAAGGCCACGTTACACACTTACTCAAGAGTATTATTGAAATCTTAAGGAAATATAGGCCAGATTTAAAATACTTTTTTAAGATTACTGTTGAAGGTTTGGATGCTTATTTGAAATATACAGTAATAATGTTTGGATTAACTACAGTGGCACACATCACATTAGACAGCGTCTATCAGCATGATCAGTGACGGTTTTCCAAAAAGAAATTGCAGGTGATGCAGTAAACAAGCGCGTTCATCTAAAATAAATGACTGGGCACAGTGCAATACCTCAATACAGAAAACAATCCAAATCCTAAACAACATTGTACACTTCAAGTCTTGTAGTTTAACAGCATGTTAAAAAAAATGGCAAACTGCACTGCACAAAGTCTGCAAAAAATGCTTTTCAGTTTTTCCTTTGTAGTGGTATGTAGTGTTAAATGCTGTTTCTCTTAGTGAATAAAGCAGTGCAACCCATGTACAGCATTTACATTGACGCCTACATTCAGCAGAAGTATGAGCATTTGATAGCTTATAAGTAAAATATCGAGATACAGGAACTGACTGGCCAGGGACAGATGTTCTATCTGTAGCGGCCTTTTACATCAGACCCTACCAGCACACTCAGAAAGAGCCATCCGGAGCATTAGACGAGGGCTGAGGTCATGTTCCATTTTAGTACGTTTGAACAGACACAGCCCACGCTAGCCAGATCGCCCAAGAACACATGCCCCCGCTAGGAGGAAATAGGAGCCATGCAAATCACAAGTCAAGAATAAACTCTATCTCTTTGCATTGTAGCTAAGGGCGACTTTCATCTGCGGATGTTGAAATGGCCGACTAGGCCAACAAGAGACAGGCTCTGCTGCAAGTTTGGGCCGTGTCTGCCAAGCAGATTCTTGGGCTGTTGATTTTGGTCTACTGTGGCTGCTGCTCCTTCTTTTCTGCCCCGTGTTGTGGTCATGTGGTACCTAGGCGCTGGCCTCTCCCGAGAACGCCAGCTGGCGTCAGTGTGGTGCTCCTTCATGTGGGTTCCGGGGAGATTGTGAAAGCTCTTCTCTTGAGCGAGCGCCGTGCCCAGGCCTGGACAACACAGCCTCCCTGGGCGTCTAGACGACGTTGTCGGTCCAGTGAAGTCCATCGACACCCCAGCGATTGTCGCGTTTCCTGACACTTTGTTTCACCCAGCAGCTTGTGTCTGCCGCCCTCACGTCAGCTCATGGCCGGAAGCTTCTGGAACATAGTCCTGCTGCCCTCATCACCAGCTGTTTGCCGAACGTGCTGGAAGATTTCCTAGACAGAATGGACCTTGATCCAATGGTAAGGAGTCAAGATGACTGGAAGTCTCATTTTTCCACAGCCTACCTTTGCCGTCAGAGCCATTAGGATTCTGACATCCCACTGCCTGCTCCACCACTGAGTGTTTCTAATAATCCTTCAGTTAACCAGATAAGACACCTGAGCAAAATTCATATTGACCAAGAGGCTCTTTCCACCATCAATCAGAAAACAAAGCAATGAGAGGAATAAAAGAATAATCAAAAGAATTGAAAAGAATAGGGTGCGTTGTTGTTAACAAGAGCAAGTATTGGGCAGGAAAGATTTTTCAGATAACTGAAAATGCCCTCAGTTAAAAAAACGTGACACTTTCTGCTCTCTTGGAGACCCACAGCTGGGAGGTGAGTTAAGTAACAGCATGCTAGCGAGTGCTATTCAATTCTGTAGGAGATCAAACTCTCGTAACTCGTTTTGGACAGGCGTCGCTTCATGGCACTAACCTTGACCCTAACACAATCACAAAACACAAACCCAAATACCACACTTTAACCACTCCCATGTGAGAAAGTGCCAAATCAGGCTTTACCCCTAATCTAGTCAATACAATAATCAGCACCCACTGTGGGACTATTTACAAAGACTAGAGGCCACGAGGCAGCCCTCTGGTGGCAAGCCAGCTGTAATTACATTCCTCTCTACAGCTGACCAGCCTCATTTGCAAGAGTCTTTCCTGCAGGGTGTCATGTTAGTGCAGAGATGTTAGCAGAAGCTGTTAATGAATCAGGGCTGACTGCTGAGCTCAGAGGCAGCACTGCAGAGGTCCGAGGTTGCTCTGTCGCTCTGCACAGAATCCAAGATGACTCCTGGCTGCACCCAGGCACAGTAGTGACTTATGGCGAGCTAGGGCCAGGACTGACAATCAGAATCTAGCCTAGGATGGAAACTCTCTGCGGCACAAGCATGAGCACTGCTTTATTGAGTGCTCTGAATTACATATATTTAACTGCTTTATAAATCATCCACATTCATGGTGGTTACAAATAATACTGTAAGAAATGTCTGCAGATCTACTGGCCGCCAGCAGACACTCTCAACAACCCTGTGTGTGCTCCCCTACTTCATGCACACTGAGTTTCCCCATCATGGCAGCTCTGATGGAACACAAACTGCTTGGGCTCCAGCTCAAAACAGCGGCATTTCACTGAAGGGGCAGTCTGATCACTGTAGCAATTCCAAAAATGTTTGTTTGGTTTAGATGCTTTGCCAAGAAGGTACAGTATTTACTTGAGGATTTAAAAAACAAACAAACAATCTGCTAAGTCTTTCTAAGCATCACAGTTATTTGCACTCATGACACTTGAAGGTAATCAAGTGGGTGGACGTTTCCCACAAAGCTTTGCAAATAAAGACGGCATAAGAATTTGCATCAGATATTCCAGTTTGCACAACATGCCTTTAATGAGGCTATCTTACAGGAAGCCAAGTGTCAAAGAAATTGCGAAGCCACCGTGAAGCTTGCAACAAGAAAGAAAGAAAGAATGTGAGGACTCCTGTATCGTAAAATGCAACATGATGGGTAAGGTTACTCATTTGGTATCATTTAGAGACAAGAAAAAAAAACAGTTTGGTTCCCCTTTCTGTTTCTGAGAAGAAGAGGGGCTTCAGGCACAGGCTGCATGCTACAGCAAGGAGCTGTCCTGTCCTTGTGGACAGCGGACAGGAACTGAGAAAGCGGACCTGATTTCGGCTCAGAGCCGGTAGCAGAATTTAACAATGTGAGCAAACAGCAGAGCACAGCGGGACGTCTCCTTAGCCAGGCAGGGAGGCAACACTACAGTCTGAGTGACAATCGCAGGTTAAGCCATCTGTAGTTTCCTGTTATTCTATTATGAAACTGTTGCCCATTCCATTTTAAGAGTTTTGCGTTTCACTTTTTCTAGGTTAAAACATTATTTAAAACATTAGAGTTCGGGAACTCAAGATTCACCTGGGAGGAGGTCATTCGAAGTGCAGATTAGCAGCTAGGAGCTTACTGGTCCAACCAAGATTTCCCTGATTTGGTCAGGACATTTGTTCCAGACTCCCACCACCCTGTGTGTAAAGAAGTGTTTCCCGTTTTCTGCTTTCAAAGGCTGAACTTTCTACTTGTGTTTCCAGCTCCTTTGTCATAGCTGACATTGAAGAGTTCAATACATGCTTCTAGAAAGGGAGAGCTAATTTGTTTAAGAATATGTTTGAAATGAAGTCAAACAGACATTTGAAGGGCATTTAAAAAACAAGGACACAGAGAAATAGTTTAAATGATAACTTCATTTTTTTTTGTTTCCTGAGATGGACAGAACACCAAAAATATCTTGTGAAAGAGCCCTCATACATCACAGAGAGAAACAGACATATGAGTGTGGTGTAACTCCGCATTACTTCCCCTGAACTGTTCCTGATAGCTCAGCCCGAGGAGCCAGGCATTTTATTTTCAGAACGACCAACACAGTAGCCGAAAGTCGGACTACAAATATGGATTAAAACAGAATGGCTCTTGTGCAAACTTGGTGGGTTGTATTTTTAAAAAGTTTCATGTATTATGTCACGCTTCATATCAAACATAGTAATGTTAGTGGGGTCACTGGATTCTTTTCAAACCTTGCAGCCGACAGTAATCAGGAGAAGATTTGGAGGAAACCTGAGACAACCAGACTAGGAGCTCTGCTCTGGTTTGCCAGTGCTGAACACATGCTCATCAAAGTCTTTGACACCATACAGCGCTCAAACCAAAGGAAATTTGAGAATCTTATATTTTTACCACCACCTGTGGACTCTCTGTAAAAGACAAATAAGGACCAGAACCATCTCAAATACACTGACTAACGAGTCTCCACTCTCTGGGGGGCCACCATAAGGCAATCATGGTTCAAAAGGGCACTGAACTACGCTGTGATTTCTTGCATCCCCAGAGTGTGTTCATTTCCCTCCACTCCAGCTGTTACACTCTACGC